GGCAAAAACTTTTCATCCCGACGGAGCTGCTGTTCCCAAAATTCCAAATTGCTAGCCTTTTCATTTCTGGATTTGGTTAGAGCGAGCGAACCCGACAAATTTGAAATGCACACACGCCCATCCATCTCATTTCATTCTGTTCTTATTGCATCATTGATGTAACGAGAATACATAAAAATTTCTTCGGTCACAATTTTCTCAGCCCTGCCTATTCGGGAAAGTCTTTCTACGTACACAATCTGTGTTAGTGAAAGTGCTAAAATTGGCTAGCGGATTTGAATGAGGATTTTCAGCCTCGAAATTTCGGCTTTCGAGATCCCGTTTCCGGATTTCATGCCAAGATTTGAACTCTACCAGTACCAAATTACGGAAAATTTCCGGAAAAATATTTGAATGCGATTACAAAAAAATTCGAGTACTTAGTTTTATTCAAACAATTCTTTTTGATGCACTGGTTTTATCATTATTCATCTTTTTTCCATGACCGTCATTTATCTTGTGTTTTTTGTCTCAAGAAAATGTTTTAAACATATCACCAAGATAATTTGAGATATTAGTGTGGAACTCTTGATGTCTCTCGAATAGGTCCCACATCGATCGCATTTATTCTAGGTTCACTCACCTCGACTGTTTGCTTCCTACTGTCTTGAACTCATTGTAGATGAAGCAATGGAGAAGTATCAGCTTGCTGTATCCAAACAGTACGCGCCTACACAAGTGTCTTCCAAAGATTTTACCTTCCGAAGCAAAGCACTGAAACGTGCAAGCACTGACGATGAAGTATCCGTTACACAAGAAAGCATCCAGGAAGAAGATGCGCCTGCCAAAGAACGATTGTCACTGAACACTTACAGTTCGCATTTTTGCTTGGAAGTTTTGAAATTTTTTAAAATTTTGCAAGAATTAACAAGGCATGAAATATCGAAAATAACCGTCTTATACACAAGTAGACATAAAACAAAGTTTTATGTACTAAGTTTTTTTTTATGTACTGCAATAAAAAAAAAAACTTAGTACATAAAACTTTTGTTTTATGTCTATGCATGTATAAGGCGGTTATTTTCGATATTTCATGCCTTGTTAATTTTTTTATGTACTGCAACACTTTTCTTCTTCCGTTTCAAT